TGATTTGCCTTGAAAAATTACACTGGAATTGATTTTGAACTTCTTATCATTGACTACTGGATCTACTATCAATCCACAAGACAGTTTCTCAAGTCCTGAATTAATACAGAAAATGATTTTGTTTGAAGCGAGCACAACAATTTAAATGCTGGCTATAAGCCCCCTTACTCAGTTTTACTTTTTAAAAACATGTTGATCTTGAGAAGAAAACCTTTTCCACTTTGACTTCTTTGTTCCTTACAACAACAAAATAAAGCAACTACTATTTGGGAATTCAGAGACTTCATTCAAACAATTTTTTTCAAGCAGATAGTAGGAAAAGGTTTTGATGACTTTGCTTATAGGAAGAGGTCCCCTTGGTGGATAGCGGAAATTCAGATTAAAGCCAGACAAGTTACCCTTCCTCCAAGATAAATTTCCCTGCCCCTTCAGAGCCAAACTCCCTGCTCAGCTACTGCAGAAAGAATTTCCTAAATTGGAGGTGGTTTTGTTGTGCCCTTTTAAGATCAAGTTTCTTAGAACTTTTACACTCTTCAGGACATTTCAAAACCTGAATTAATCTCTATGCGAAATGTGAACATGAGACCCTAGTAACAAATCTATTTTTAACACACACTCCACACATTACAGAACATTACCTAACCTTGCCTCCTTTAAAACCTGAGGTCCTTATGTACAGATGCCATGTTATTCAGTTTCTTTAAACATAGGTACCTCAGAGTATATTACTATGCCTGATATACATTTGAATAGATATACCTAAAAAAGAACTGAACTCTGTGTGACACTTTAACTTATGAACGTTCACATGCAGAGGTGTGGAAGATCAGTTAACCCTAGGCCTCTATCCCGGGTTACAGCAAACGGCTTCCACAACCTCCATCCCAAGGAAACCTCACAACTTACTTCATCTAACCCAGTGACACTCACTCAGTGACCGAGGACATACCACCTGTCTCTCTTCTGGGTAGTGTTCCCCAATGCAGTATTCACCTCATGTTCCAGGAAAGAGAGAAGGGCCTTGTCCTCTCCAAAAACCCTCGCACACCATTCTCCGCAGCCTTTGCATTTTCATCTCAGCACCCAGGCAGCTGCTGGGAGGTCAGCAAGCTGACCACAGAGAAGAAAGAGTAAAACCACCAAGAGCACAGCAGCTAGGCAAGAAAAGAGCAACCTGGCCATAGCAGAGCGATGCTGGTTTTACTCCCACTTCTCCAAAGCTATCTCACTATCCTTCAGGTGTTTGGATGATCTCTCTTTCTCGACTGAGCTTCTCATGCTGAGGAGAAGGGACAGATAACTCTACATACTCATAAGCAATTAAAAAGGCTATAGTTGTATATTCAATCTTGCGTAGTTCTTGTATTAATTGAATGTGTGCGTTTGGTGGGTGGCACACAGAGCCACCTCATGTGGTCCTTTTGGTTGATGTTAAGTGCAAATGTGGCTCTCCAAAAACTGTGGAGTGAGCAACTCTGATCTAACGCTCCTTCTCTCAAAGACCATTCAAACATATACAGGAATGCCTGACTGGGCAAATAGCAGTACTTTTTGCTAAAGTGGTAGAGGTGAAAGTTTGCTAAAGTGGTAGAGGTGAAATCAAGTGAGATACCAGAAAACAAAGTTGTACTTACCTATAACTGTTGTTCACTGACGACTTCTGTGCAGACACACACTGGGACTGCACCTGCACAGGCTGGCCATGGACATTTTGTTTTCTAGCGAAAAGCTCCAAAATGGGGGCACTCTGCCCTTTTTGGAGCCAGCACATGTGTGGTATTCCTGCCCAATGCATCATGCTCTCCGACAACTGTGCACCCCTTTCCCTCAGTTCCTGATGAGCCACCGCAAGCTCCCACTTTTTTTTTTTGGCACAATGGGCCATGTGAGAGCAGGGCAGGAGAGAGGGAATGCGTGTCTGCACAGAAGACATCAATGAACAACAGTTACCTGTTACAACCCTGTTTTCATCTTCCATCTTCCTGTGCAGCCCCACACTGGGACCATTAGCGAGCTACTCACTGTAGGAGGTGTGGTGAGTACCCACCTTGCCCACATCTGCTTCTTTTTTTGCCTGCAGATCCAGAGCACAGTGTCTCACAAAAGTGTCCTCTGAATTGACCAGGTTGCAGCCTTGCAGATGTCCAGAAGGGGCGCTCACCAATGTACTTGTGTAGAATGTGATTTCACATCAAGAGGACACAACTGTCCAGATACTTTGTAGGAGGACCAGATGGTGGCCACCACTCATCTGGACATGGACTAGGCTGATGCTGCTCTACCTTTCTTGGGCCCCCAATAACAAATAAATAGCACTTTATCTTTGCGAAAAGGTGGGTCCCCCCAAGAGCTGCTAGTTCGCTGACTCTCCTGGCTGAGGTAACAGCCACTAAAAATGCCACCTTTCTAGAGAGTGAGAGTAACACTAATGAGCATGAAGCTAAAGGCTCAAAGGGAGGTTTCATGAGGCTAGCTAATACCAAGGTAAAGACCACTGTGGAACAATCCGGGATTCAGGGGGAATGACATTAGACAATCCTTTCAAGAAACGCAGAGCTAACATGCGAAAAAGCAGTAATTCCCTATATCTCCTTATGGAAAGTAGCAATGGCTTCTAAATGGGTCTCCACTGAAGATACAGTTTAGACCTGTATGTATTAGGTATAGCAGATATTCCAGAATGGACAACATTGGGCAGGTGAAGGGATAGACCCTTTTAGTAGCAGCCTAGGACTCAAAACCAGACCATTTTTGGTCATAGGAGTATCTAGTGGAAGTTTTGAGGGCCTGAAGTAAAACATCCAGAACACCCTGGGAGAAGGAATGACCTAGGGCCATATTCTCCATGCTGTTAAATGCAACCTTGCTATATCGTGATGCAGTAGCAGGTCATATGTTAGTAGGTTCAGAATGGTGGGAAAGGGTATGTATTTCCCTTCTGCTAGGTGTAAGAATTCCGAAAACCAAATCTGGCCAGGCCACAACTGAGCCACCAAGATGCCATTTGTTTGGTCTGCTATCATCTTCCCTATGATTCTGCTCAAAATGGGAAAGGGGGGGGGATTCATAAACGAGAGTCCCTGATCATGGGATCTGAGCCAATGTGTGTTCTTTTTCTGGCTTCTATGTCAACCCAATTTGAGTTTCTGTTGCATTTTTTAATTGTAAGACTATTTATTTCATAATAAAGGTGGCTTGCAAGAATGTACTTCAATTCCTTGAGCTTGTGGCTACAATTATTGTTAATCCTAATTAAGCATATTAATATCCCTGTAAAATAAATCAAAAGTTCAGAAAGAGTCCCAACAAGAACATGCAGTCCGTTAAGAAGGATGTAGCATACTTCTGAAAGTAAACATGGGGGACTCTTGAGTATTTTACAGCAGCTCTCCTATATTCATTTGAGTTTGCATTGCCATTTCTGCAGCCTTATGGATTTCAGCCTTATAAAATCATTACTATCTGGCAGGAAAGGACTCCCTTCTCAAACGACTACAGCCTCTTGGCAACTGGAAGAAAGAGCAGCCTGGACTTGGACTGAGGCTGGACTTTTGACTTTATCATATCAGGATATTTCAGCAGTAGAAATGAGTGCCACTTAAACTGCTAAAATTTCTGCCTATTCTTTTCTTCAGGGATTATAACCATTCCAAGAAAATTGAAATTTTGAAAAAGATTTCTGGATGTCTCCTTAAAATACAAAACATGATCAGTGCACAGACCCTTTGATATGGAAGCTTTTCTGCCTCTGAAAGCACAGAAAAGTGACACGTCCGTATGCCAATAACTGGGTGTTAGGAATTCACACTTTTATTTATTTATTGTTTATTTAGACTTCTACCCCGCCCTCCCAGCCAAGGCTGGCTCAGGGCGGCTTATCTAAGTCCTATATGTGTGGTGTCGCTAACAATTATAAAGTGACACAAGCCTCATTTTAAAAATCCCACCACAATGATGAAGTTAATATATCATGCCTCTTTCCCAGCTCTACTCCGACTTCCACGCCAGGATTCCTCTCCTTGACAAGTCGTAAAATCAGTGCGTTCCAAACCATAGGCAGGTATGGAGTATGTGCCTTGCGCCTCTGGTTTGGCGGAAAGATGGTATTTAGAATAAGGCAGCCATGGAACACAGAGGGGTCAGCAAAGGACATAATGGAGCCCTCCAACTTTCCTGTTTTCTATCCTTACAGTATTTGCAACAGTACACCATTTCCTAGAATAAGAGTCCTGCATGCTTCCTATTGTGCATACTCTCCAACCCAGGGCTGAGCCCTAAATTTAATTCAAGCTCCAAGTACAGGACTTGCCTTAGGCAAGCCCCTCTCAGCCTTAGCTCCTCATCTGCAGAACCATTATACTAGTGACTCAGCTGGCATTTACAAGGTGTTTACAATAAAAACTGTAAATCATTTTTCAAGTTCAAGAGTAAAATACACATGAATACCTACCATTTTTCACTGGAAGCATCTATGAATTCATGATCTACTTCAATATGTTTATATGCTGAACACAATTTTCAATGGATGCTAGCCAATTAAAAAAGTCTTACTAGAATTTCAGTTGACTTTGTTAGAGGAAATTATTTTAAATTAATGTGGCTACTGAACTGTTGCCATTTTTTACCTCAAAAATATATCCCGTCTAATTTTTGCTGTGAACATTTGTTTATTTAAGCTAAACTCCAGGCCTTGAATGTTGACCATGAAGGAGTCTCAGGTTTCCTGCTACTATTCCGTGCTACCTCATTCTAAACAAGGGCAAACATCATATGTTTGTTGCATTAGTGTATACTGCCAAAACATCACTATTAAATGAAATCATCTCTGTATTTTTGGTAGAATCCTTTAACAACTTCCATCCCTCGCAGAAGCAGAACGCTGAAACAAGGCTGTTTTGTTTTCACTGAGTAACAGTTTGATTCCCGGTTTACTAGAGGCTGCTCAAAATGTTTTTCCATGAGTGCTTCTCAAAGAGAATGAGCATTTAAGTGTGGTTTACCTTTACCAGTGAATGAAGGCTTTTTTCACCAAACATATCCCAGAGGAAGGTCAGGTCTTCCTGGCTGTCCACATGTGGCTGCAGCTGGGCTGGCAATGAGGCCAGCAGCTCATACAAACCTATAAAGTGAAAATAACACAAGAAGTGAAAGCTAAGGGTGATCTCATTAATTTCACTTAACCCTCTTGTGTAACTTGCTGCCTGTACCATTTTATATTAAACCAGTAGTAGGCTTCGCAGTAGCCAAAAAACACTGTCAGAGAAGGGATGACCCCCCCTTTAGTGTTACTAGTGAGGTTCTTTTTACTTTATTAACAGTTGCTAAAGCTTCTATAGGAACACATTTACTTAGCACTGTACCAAGAATTCATAATGCTTTTTGGAAAGAGACAAATCCCAGAAACACACACATTCCTTTGCTTAATCGTTATTCCATTTCCCTTGATATTAGAGTGAAATGAGTCATGAATAGGAAAAACATCCTTAAAAGAACAGAGAAAATGGATGAGGTGGTCCATTAAAAAGAGTTTGCGGTTTCTCTAAATATTTCTCACTGATACATTGATTTTTTAAAGAACTTGGATATAAGAGATGTACAGCAGAATAAAAACTTCAAGACTAGCTATACAGCAGTCAAAAGCCTCATATACGTAAGCTGCACGGAGCAAAGGCATCCACACAAAGAACTTAGCCAGGCTTCTCTAAAAGGGATTAAAGCAATGACTGCTCCTAGTTATTTGTAGCACATCTCACAGCGGTTTGCTGGGTCAGACAGTAGCACAGTGTTTTCACAGTAGCAAACAGCACAGAATTATCCATCATGCTGCTGTCTAACAAACTTGGCAAAATGACTTGTAGAAGCTTTCTCAAAGGAGGTAACCTAGCATGAGCTGATACCAACTCAGAGCATGTGTCTAATTTTTCCAGTGGGGTTTCTTAGGGCTAAAACAGATGAAGTGCACTTCCCTTCTCCTTCTTAGTCCCAGACACCCACCTACCCCAACCCCAGGATCTATGTAACCACCATAGTTACCAGCTTGAGTTATTACTACATGTTATTCTGCAGCAATGAACACATTCATTCTCTATGAAGTAAGCTCCACTAAACTCAGAGCAATTAGTTCCTCAGAAAAAAGAATGGTCATGATCAGACCAAGATTTATTAATCACAAGAAAAAACATTGCCATATTGCTATTTTCAAACACACTGCAATTAAAGTATGTTATCTAGTACTCTATTGATCTTATGCTTATGTATTTTAGATACTGAAATGTTATGTTTTAGGTCACCACTACTGCACAGTGTTTGGAATGATCAGATGCCTCTTCTAAAGCTACAAACAGTATCCCCTCCAGTTAATATAACTTTTTAAAAAAGCATTCTTTCCAGACATTTTCTATAGGCTTTGGGGAAGTGAAGTCCAGTTTTGCTTTAAAAGCTACTTTTATGGCTCAAAAACACTACTAACACAGGATCACACACAAATCACTGATATTTCCCCTGGATACAAAAATCCTGAACCTATGCTAAATACTGCTGGGAGGGCGGGGTATAAATTTGAACAATAAATAAATAAATTCTATCAGTGGCTGCATTGACATCCAAAGATTTTAAGTTTCAATCCAGGGTACTTGGCTCAGTGGCTAGATTTATAACAGCCAAACACCTGGTACAAAAATATACATAACTCTGTTTCAGAATACCAGTGGATGCTGTTGGAGCATTTCAGTGACAGTGAGCCATGTATATTAAATGGGCACCATGGCATCTATTTTTCTCATTAAAACAGCAAATACTTGACAACAGTAAACCTTGTTTCTTAAGGGGTACTAGGAGAACATTAAAATATCTTTCCATCTCATCTCTTTTTAAGAAGTATAAATATCTCACTCAACTGTCTGCAGCAACTACACATTTCCACTATATAAAAAGAAATGCTTGAAAACAGGAGTGGAAAGTTAAACTTAGCACTATACTTCTGAACGACCACCAACTGCTAATTTGTATTAATAGATGCATGTTAATTGTATGCATTTCCTTATGATAATGATGTTAGTAAGACTATTTCCATTTCTTACAGACCTCTTTTTACACTGTTTTTGTTCTAGTACTTTCATTTCAACTGATGAAAACAAACCAAAGCATATTAATAGAGTTAAGCCAGACAGATCATTTGGTTACAAGTTTTCACTGAAAGAAACAATACAGGCAATTTTTCCATACATATTCATTGCTTTGCTAAGCAGCATAAAGAAATATCTAACAGTTTTCAAACACTTTGCCAACTGACATCCGCTGCAACTCGAGGGCGGGGTATAAATCTGATAGATAAATAAATAAATAAATATAATGTAGATATATAATGTAGGGTATGCCTACTGAGCCTCACAGTTATACTGCATCAATGGAGAATACACTCTAGAATTTCCCAATTACCCTCCTGCAGATAAAAGAAAGCAATGGTGAAACTGTCTTCATATATTTTATATAATCTTATATTCTAATAGCAAAGTTGGCCAAATTTTAGGATACTTAAATCCGGTGAATGGAGCTAAGAATGGGCAAGACAGATCTTTCTACAGACCTGAAAAGGGCCCCAGGTTTGCAGAAAAATGCAAAATCTAAACAAAATACATTTGAGAAGTTAAAAAAACCCCAAAATTATAAAAGAAGTACCTGGAGCTTTAAACAGTAGATTCCCTCAGTGGTTTTTGCTAGGCCATCACAGTATTCCAAACTGAGTTTCTTTGAGTAAAAAGGCAGGGGAAGAGGACACGGTCCTTTCCAGGCCTATTTTGGCATTTGAGGGAGGACTCATTGGGACCAGGCCTGGCTAGGGTTGCCAGCTCCAGTTTGGGAAATTCCTGGAGAATTTGTGGTGGAGTCTGAGGAAGGCAGTGTTTGGGGAGGTGAGAGACCTCAGCCAAATACAATACCACAGTGTCCACCCTCTAAAGCAGTTATTTTCTCCAGGGGGACGGATCTCTGTTGTCTGGAGTTCAGTTGTAATTCTGGGAAATATCCAGGTCCCACCTGGGAAACCCTAGGCCTAGACGCAATCTCTGGGAGCCTTGATACCACTGACCATGGCATCTATGACTCAACTATGCCTGACTGCTTTCTACTCTTCCAACAGCAGCCACCCTATGAAAGCCAGTGTGGTGCAGCAGTTAGAGATTCAGAACCTGGGGAGACCCAGGTTCAAATCCTCATCTTGCTGTGGAAGCTCAATGAGTGATTTTGGACCATACGTTTAGCCTAACCTATCTCACAGGGTTGTCATGTGGATAAAAAGGAGGAGAGGAGAATAATGTAAACTGCCTTGGTCCCCACTATGAAGAAAGATGGGGTATAAATGAAATAAATAAATAATAAAAATAGCTGAAGGAGATAGTGAGGCAGGAAAAGGGAAGAGGATATGAGAGATGCTAGGGGGAGGGAAAGATGAAATAGTGTGGGGAAACGGATACTGGGGAAAGTGAGGTGCCATCCAACAAGTCCTTGAGGGTTCCCTATCATGCAAGCAGGCCTGGCCCAATAGCCAGCATCAGACAACTGGGCCACAGTTTTCCTAGGCAGAGACTGTGGGGAGGGGGGGGGAAGCTTAAGACAGAGGGGCAGATAAAGGTAGATTGGCTGTTGTGCAGAAAGGAGATAGGGTTGCCAACTCGAGTTTAGGAAATGCCTAGACATTTGGGGGTTGGAGCCTGGGAAGGGTCTTGTTTGAGGAGGGTATGGACCTCAGCGGGGAGTTTAATGCCATGGAGTCCACCCTTTAAAACAGCAATTTCCTTCAGGGGAACTAGGGTTGCCAGTCCAAGTGGGAACTGGAGATAACCAAGAATTACAAGTGTTCTCTGGATGAGAGAGATGAGTTCCCCTGGAGAAAAGGGCTGCTTTGAAGGGTGGACTTTATGGCATTATACCTTCACTTCCCTGCCCAAACCTTGCCATCCCAAGGCTCTACCCCCAAATCGCCAGGAATTTCCCAAGGGGGAGATGGCAAACCTAAGGAGTAACTGATCTCTGTCGTGATTCCAGGAAATCTCCTGGCCCCATCTGGAGGTTAGCAACCCTAGAAAGAGAGAAGGAAGCAAGAAAAGGGAAGAGGCTATGGAGGCTTTCAGAAAAAGGAAAGAGGAAATAATAGGGAGGTGGAAAATGCAAGTCCTTGTGGGTTGCCGTTTGTCTATATTTGTTGTTGTTGTTCAGTCGCACAGTCGAGTCCGACTCTTCGCGACCTCATGGACAAGATCTCGCCAGGCCCTCCTGTTTTCCGCCGTCCTCTGAAGTTGGCTCAATTTCATGTTCGTTGCATATACTAATAGCCAAAATCCTTAGCAAAATCCTTAGCAAAATCTAAGGATACTTAAATCTGGTGACTGGTGCTGTGAATAGGCAAGACAGGTCTTTCTACAAACCTAAAAACTGTCCTAGGTTTTTTTTAAAAACCTCAAAATGATACAACTAATCTCCAGGTGACAGAGGTCAGTTCCCATGGAGAAAATGGCTGCCTTGGAGGGTGGAGTCTATGGTTTTATACCCCTCCCCAAGTCTGAAGTCCCTCCCCTTTCCAAACCTCCTCCTTCCCAGACCCCACCCCTAAAATCTCCAGGAATTTCCCAACCTGGAGCTGGCAGCCCTAAAGGAGAATGATATAAGGTGTCTTGGATCCCACTGAGGAGAAAGGTGGAGTATAACTAAAGAAAATAAACAATACAACTGAAAGTGGGAGGCAGATAAAAGGTAGGTTGGTGAATGGCTGAGAAGAGAATGAGGCATGGAAAGGGGAGAGGATATGGGGGTTGCCAGGAGAAGAGAAAACAGGAGTAACGTAGGGGGGGGAATACAGTGCAGAGTGATGTGCTCCCTATAAGCCCTTGGGGTTAACCTACAATGCAAGTGAGCTTGGCTCAGTAGTCATTACCACCCAACTGTGCTTTAGTTTTCCTAGGTAAAGGCTACAGGGCATAGGTTGGCTGTTGGGTGGGAAGGAAAGAAGGAAGCAGAAAAAGGGGAAATGCTAAGGATTTTTTCAGGGAAGAAAAGAGGAAATAGTGGAGGGGGGGAATGAGATACTCCCCGCAAGTCCTTGTGGCTCCCCTGTAGTATTTTACT